TGCTTTTGTTGCAGTATCTGACAAATTAAATCTTATTCTAAAGTTCAAAATCCATAATAAAATCCATATAAAATAATCATCAGTAAATTAATTAGAATATAGTGGAACTTTGTAATTAGGAGCTGAATAATTTTTAAAAATATTATCAGAACTGTTATTAAATTCATTTTCAACTTCAGATTCAGATTTGTTATTTTTGATTTTGGATTCAAATTTGTCATTTTCAGTATTAATATTATTTGATATTGAATTTTGTTGATTATTGCTTAAAGCCATAATTCAATTTGATGAAATATTTTTAGTTCTTTGCCAAATAGTAAATTCTTGATCTGCTAAGTTTTTAGTTTTTGTTTTTTGATATTATATAAAAACCTTATACATGGATTAACAAGTAATCCATTATATTTATTACAGTTGTAAATAACATTTATTTTTTTAGGTTTTTTTTTTGAACTTTCACTAAATAAAATTAAAATTGAACACTTTTTTGCCATTTCAATTGACAAATATTAAACATAAAGTGACAAAAGTCATTATTTAACTCTGAATTGCCAAATGCTGACGAATTTTAATATAATATATAAATTTTAATATAATACAACAGATTTTTATTTAATAAGACTAAATGACGAATATAACATAATGAATTTAAATATAATAATACTAAATAATAAATTTTTAATATAAAAATACTAAATAAAAAATTATAATAATACAAAATGATACAAATAATGATATAATAAATATTGAATTATATGACAAAACAATATATAAAATTTTATATAAATATCTTTATTAATTTAATCAAAATTAATTTTTGCTAAAATGTCTAAACAACAAGAAAAACTATCTGATAAAAATGTTTATAGAGAAAAGTTACAACATTTGTTATCTTCATAACCTTCAGAACATTCTTTACAATTTCAACAATTATTTTTATCTATTATATTAAAAGAGCATATAACAACCACTAGTATCAAAGGTTAAATTCCTGTAATGGCAGCCAAATTGCTCAAAAGAAGGTCATCTTTTTTATTACCCACAAGCTTAGTGATTGAAGTTGCATAAGTATTGACTCCTGAACCAAAGTCTGTGACTCGAACTCAAGAGGAAATAGAAAAAGATACAATTTAAATTATTTTTGAATCATAAAATCTACTTTTACTAATTTGTCAATTTATTTAGAAAATGAAGAGTTATATATGAAAGTTAATGAACTAGAAAAAGCAAATGCTGATTTGGAGACATAATTAGTTATACTGGAACATATAAATAAAATATTTTTGACAAATCAAATCAGCAAAAGAAGTATATTGAATATCTAAAAAAGAAAAATGAACAACTAAAATCACATAAATCAGCATTAGAGCCAATAGTAGTTGTAGAAACTACAAAAGTGATATCCAAACCTCAAAACCAACCCGAATTTCAAAATCAACCTGAACCTGAATACCAACCTAAACCTGTGCCTGAAGCTAAAACTGAATATATAATTTCAGATTCCGAAAATGTGCTGAATATATTAAAGAGCTGAAGAATTAAGTTCAAAGAAAAGATTAAAGATGTCAAAAAGGGTAAAGGTGTCAAAAAGAGTAAAGATGTTGAAAAGGTCAAAGTAATAGAAACAGTTGAACCTTCAAAAACTGTTTCTAAAGATGAAAAAAAAAAGAAGGCAAGAGCTAAAATGAAAGTTCTGGTGAAAACTATTCCTAAAGAACTTTAACTAAGAGTAAACGAAGTTTATTCAAATGATGTGAATAAAAAAATATTAAGCAAGTTAATACTTGAATTATTAAAATTAATGACTCCACATTTTAATCCATCATGAAAGCAGCTGAACAATTGGTTAGGTGCTTTATATCGTCATCAAAGAGAAAAACATCAAAAGACACAAACAGGAAAACTAGATGCAGACAATTATCGCTTACATTCAAATAATCATTAAGTGAAATAAAATTAATTGATATTTATATTATATTACTTGTATTAATTTTTATTGAATAATAAAGAAAAGAGCATGAAGAATCAAAAATGCACAGTTACTTATCAACAAAAAGTCCAAGAATATTGCAAGATATCGAAAGAAATTAATCGATATAGTTAAAGAATCAAGAGTTTATTCAACTAAAAAATATGAAACAGATTCAAAAAATGATGATAAGAGAAAAATAAACATATATGACTATAATTAGCATTCTGATAAGATATTTTTTAATAAATGATTTTATGCTGAATAATTAATTTATTACTAATTGTTTTATGCCAAATAATTAATTTATTACTACTGTATACTACTGCATACAATATCCTCCCCAAATACTATCCCCCTACTAATAATACCAGATAGTATTCAAGAAAATTGTTGCTTGATAATTGATTACTACCCGGGTATATTAATATAATAATAAGTAAGACAATAATATTTTGAATTTTATAATAATAATATATCCTGCCACTAATACTACCCCCCTTCTAGTAAAATACCCCCCGGGTATTAATCAATTTATTAGGGAGTAAATTGATTAATATCTGGGGTATTGTATGCAATGGTATACGGTACTTAATAAAAGTAAAATAGAAATTTGAATAGACAATATCAATTGTATTAATATATATAAGAAATTGAAAAATTCCTATTCAAAAAATATCATTAAAAAAAAATAAAAATTTCTAATTGCCAGCTTTGAATATATATATTAAATACAACTTCAAAAAAAGAAATTCAAGTAATATTAATTAAAGTCAATGCATATAATTCAAATATTGTTAATAATTAAGTTAACTAATTAATCAAGGCAACAAAAAGAGAGCAAGAGATTTCTTGGAAAGAATTATTCAAAATTTTTCTGATTTCAATTTTTTTCTAGAAAGATATTCCAATAGATATCTCAATAAGATTGTTTATTAAAGACTTAAATAAAAGAAAAATACTAATTTAATGGATTAATTAAAATAGAATCCAATCAAAATAAAAAGAAAAGATTCAAAATTTAAAAGAAATAAATTAAAAAGAATTTTGAAATTAAGGTAAAGAAAAAAATACATTCAGAATTTTATTTAAATAAATAAAAGATAGGATGTTTGAGATTAAACTTATTTATAATAAACTCACTATATTGGACAATATATTAAAACACAATATAACAAGTTACAATAGATATACAAAGTATATATTTTGCAAAGTAGAAAATAAAACATTAGATTATTTTTTAATATATTTTTAGTTTGATAAAAGTCACGAGGTATAGTTGCGTACTGTAATTATTATATTGTGTACTCTGGAAATGCAGAGCATCAGTAACAATTAGTATAGAAAATATAGTAATAGAAGCTTAGATAACTTATCTAATAGTCTATTTTAGTTCTAATAGTCTATTTTTCCTTAATTGTTTTTAATAATCTTTTTATGTGTGTAGACAATATAAATAGTGATGCCAATATATAAGAAAAATAATAATAATAAAGGGGAACAATAATAAGAATTATAATAATAAAAAAATAATTAGTGAAATTAAAATATCAAAAAAGAAATATTATAATTAACAACTTACCTTTTCAAGTATGCACCATCTAGAAAAGGATAATTGCTGCTATAGAAAATAGCCTAGAGTTATCAAGAGAAAAGCTTTTTAATAAGAAGAAAACCTTGGCCAAAATCAATCTTATGCACTTCGATTTACCTTTTATAATATTATCTTTGGACTGATAAAGCAATTAGTTCACTATTTTCCAGTTTAACAATATAAAAAAATAAAAATTTACAAAGAAAGAATGTGGACATTGTTATAAGAAAAGCTCTTAAAGACATGTATTTCTAAATATTTTACCTCTAATTTATTAAAACAAAAAAATTATTTAACTTTTAAATTAATAAAAAAAGAAAAATACTAAATTAATCAAAGAAATAATTAATCTAAATATAGATTTATAAAAAAAGAAAAAATATTTTAAACTGAAAAACAAATCTATAAATTGTAAAAATCTTTTGTATTTATATATACAAACTGTTAACCAAGATATTCAAAGCATAGTACAAACTTCTTAAGCAATACATATAAAACTTCAAATATAAAAAAGTTCAAGAATATAAGCAATTCTCAAAACACAAATCTGAAAAAAAAAAATAAAAAGAAATAGAAAATTCAATATTATCAAAATCATCAAGACTTAAGACCCAAACCTATTTAAAAGAAAAGAACTATTTAAAAATTATTTTTCACTATTTTCAAGTCAAAACTGTAAGGAAACTAGTCAAGCAAATCTATTAGATAGCAAAAGGAAAAAAGAAAAACTTATAAAAAAACTTAAAGAAATCTTGTGAAACAAAATTAAAGAAGAAAAAAAAATAGTTATAAATATAAAAAATAATCAAGATTTTGAAAAGATAAACTGTAATAATAAACTGCAAGCTATAATTTCAAAATATACTTTAAGACAAGTATATAAGAACAGATAATTTTTTTTATCTCCAAAATTATATCTAGAAATAATTTTATTTTATTTTTTTTAAGGGCTAAAGTATGATACACGTGAGGATTTTATTGTAGATTAACAAATTACAAATAACTATTACATGAACAATCTATTTTAACTGATGTACTGTTTTTATATCTAGAGATAATTTTATTTAAGACAAGTATTCAAGTATTATATTCAAAAGTTTGTATATAAAAGTTATAAAACCAATATATATTTTATATTAAGATTAAATAAATTTCATAAATACTTATTTGATTACAGAAAAAATAAATAAATAAATAATATTATATAAATTTTATTTATATGATACTGGAAGTCTAGACTCAAAAATTTGTTTCAAATTTTTGTATACTAGTATATCCCGTCAATGGTCATGTGGTTCAATATGATTGGGTCAGTACTGATTTTGAAGTAAATCTGCTACATGTACATATATGGTCGATCACGTGATATACGTATATACATCGCCATAATTAAAGTTATCATTAAATCATTGCATCACTATATAACTAAAACAATATTTATTTGTTACTTTGTTCATTTCCCCCCATCTTCACTTTTCCATATTCAATTTCTATTATTCTTTCAATATTTTCTGGTAATTGTCTATGTGATTTAAATTTACTTACAGCCCACTCGGAAACTTTACCCTCTAACCCTCTATTGTATGCATCCATATATCTCCATAATCTACATGCGAATTTCTGGACTGTGGTTATAGGAACACTATTGAGAACTTCAAGAATTTGACTCAATAAATGTATATAATTATAATTACATTGGCATCTAGTTTCTTGCTTCAAAAAACCCCAATATCATTCTATGAAGTTGCATTCACAATGAAATTTCAGATAATGTTCAAAGACATGTCCCACACTTACAGTCACTTCATGCAATATTGATTATTGTTCACAAAAATCAGGTTAGGAAAACAAAATTTTTTGCGCACAACAATTCAATCTTGTCAAATTATCATGTTTCTCTGAACATTTCTTATACACTAAACAAATTTTCTTTGATGGCTATAAGTTACGTTCCATAAGTACTTGTTTAATACCTTTAGGTTGACCTCTTAATTTTTCAATCAGATAATCACCAGAAAATATCATTGATTATATATGTCTTTTGCCACTTTCGTCGACATACCAACTATTGCACATCTTAAGTTGTGTACCTTCAGAACTCAAATTTATTTTCGTCATGATTAGGGCATTGTTTGCTATAGTATTGTGATTAGTGGATTGATTAAAACAAAAAATGCTAATATATCCAGGGTATAATACTTTGAATATTGGTATTGCTTAATATACGAGTTAAAGATAATTAGGTTTGATTAAAATTTAAAATAAATTAAAAAAAAACCCAAATCTGGTCTAACATATGTTCTGATCTCCAATATCTATTTTCTTGAACAGAACGAAGAACAAAACTTTTTTGATATTTAATATGCAGATTGACTTGCAATTAATGTTTGGATAGTCGCAATAAATCGTGATATGGGCATAAAAAAGCGGAAACCATAATGGATTATTCTAAATGTTTCGAGCGTAAGATATTCTCTTCTTCTTGGATCCAAATTCTCTGTTGACTATCATTTGCATAAAAGTGACATTCATTATATGTTACTTGGACAAACTCTTTTTTTCTTGGTTTGAGCTGGGGTTCTACTATATACATATGGCATAAATTATTTTGCTGTTGACTCAATTCTAGGGCTTCTAACAATATTACTTCGATACTACTTTGATACCAGTTCGATACTTAAATTTACTATAAAAACATATAAGTAGATCACAATCTATATATTAAATTTACTATAGATTGGTACCATTTCGATATCAGTTTGATATCAGTTTGGTACTTTTTCGGAGCCCTACTCAATTCCCAAAATCTTCAAAAATAATTGCATCATGACTTAATTATTTATATGTTTTAATAGTGACTTAATTAATTGTGTCAAATAATTGCATCAATTGCATTAAGGATCTACAAATTTCAGTAACATGTATAGGTTCTACTATAATATCTAATTTATTACCATCGAAATCTTTCATACTTTTTTTATATACAAACATTTGCTTCAGTCATTCTTTCCTATATGTCACAACATCGGGTCGCTCATGCTCGTCATAATAAATACCCTTTCCTTTTTCATTATACCTGTATCCTCAAGAATGCATATAACTTCAATATGTCTTCTCAGAGATGGTATCTTTCTTGATAAAGCCTGTCAATTTCGGAAATAATGTGTCTTTGATATATGCTTTTATGTTTCTCGGGGAACGTATTTCTGGTTTTTGTTGCCATATCCATGCCTTGCAACCTTCAGCAAAATCTTAATCATATAATAAACTCTGAAGTTTTATGTGTTTTTCTTGATGATAGGTAAGAAGTGTTCCAGTCTGTATAAAATGACTTCCCCACTTTTGGATACACGTAGCTATGTAATCTCCTTTGTGCCATATTGTTTAAGCAATTCGGTGACTAGCATCTATCTTAGTTTGTCTATCCAATAACAACTGTATAAATTGGCGAATTCTGAGAAGGCGTAAATAGTCATATGTGAAGATTTTATTATTTTCTTTTATAGTTTTTCCTATTGAACATTGTTGGTTAAGTTCTTCAAAACAAGTAGATAATAATAATAAAAATGGACAATAATATGATAGGCAAGAACGTGATGGGCAAGGATGTGATGGATGAAGATGCTATGTAGATAAAGCTGTTTGGAAAAACATATTAATTGGTTTCATATTTTTAACATATTCTGTATACTTTTTTTTTTTCTTTATCCCATCTCTACAATGTTGTTTTCAAGTTTCCGGTATATGTGGTTCTAAGATTGTTTCCAGTATTATCATTCCAGATGAAAAACCTTTTTTCTACATCTTCAAATTCTCTCAAGTCTTCATTTATCTATTCTTCAAAAACTTTTTGAATATTAGTGACTGCCTCTGTAATATAAAAGTCTCCTTCGTTATTTGGGTTAGTAGTATCAATGGTTGTTTCTGTGATAGTTTGGTTTTTATCACCAATGCCCATAACTATTTTTGTGACTGCAACTATTCCCACGATAATTTGATATTTATTATTGATCACAATAGTTAGTCCCATGATAATTTGATTTTTATTTTTAATGATAACAGCTCCTTCAGCTAAAGATGGGTCCCTAAATTAAAGGCGAGGACATAATTCAAATATCCCTTCAAAGAGGACATAATTTATCTGTGAAATTTTATATGCTAAATAGTTTAGGGACACATCCTTACCTCCAGCGACAACAGCTCCTTCTGTGACAACAGCTTCTCCAACAATAATAGCTTTTTTTGTAACAACTTGATATTTCTCATTGATTATAGTGTTGATAGTAGTCTTCACAACAATTTGATGTTTTTTCTGAGAAACATATCGACCTTTCTTCCTTAGCAAATTACTTATCTGCTTCTGTTGCTTTGTATGAGATGCCATTAAGATGATTAATTAGATTTTCAATTAAATGTATATAATATAAATTATTAAAATTAATCAATTAAATTGAAGTCACATAATATGAATTTGTTTCAATTTTGACGAAAACATAATAAAATACTTGAAAGTACACAAATTTAAAACACTTATAACTTTTTATTAATAAGTTTTTTTAAAATTTTAACTGGTAATTTTATAGAATAGGTCTTAATAAACAAAGTTACTGGTTTATTTTTATTTAAAAAATTCTTTTTAAGAAGTTAATAGATTTTAAAATCACACTATATTATTTTTGAGTATAGACTTCCGGCACCATATAATAAATCTTTTTTTAATAAGTTTTTTTAAATATTTTTGAAAATTAAAAATTTGATAAAATTAAAACAGTAATAATAAACTGCAAGTAATAAACTTAAATATTCTTTAAAATGAAAAACAAGAAAAAGCAATCTTATTCATCTTCAAAATTATATTTATAAATTAAACATTAAAAACAAGTATTCAAGTATTAAAAAAAATAGGTATATAAATAATTTATTTGAAAACTTTTTCCAAATGCTTAATATACTGTACATAATATAAATAAAGTTGAGAAAGAAAAAAACGAAAGATAAAAAAAATAATAATATACTGTACATAAAATATGATATGCATGTGACAATTATACTGTTACTCTATAAATAGTTTACAGCATCCCGTGTCTTTATTTTGAATCAAAGCGCGTCTGATTTTCGGGAAATCATCGTAACACTTTATACCTCAAATAAATAGGCTCGCTTTTTACTCGAAAGTTGGCATTTTTTTTACAAATTTAAAACTTATAATGTATACTAAGCTTGAAACTCTCAAGTATCTTTTTGAGGATTTGAAATTTTCTCGAGATGAAAATGGCGCTTTGTCATTCGACCCATCAGTTATGATATACTGCCAAGCAGACATCGATGCAATTTGTGCCGCGGAGATCTTAAAGGTTTGTTGATTGCCATATGTGTTGTGCATGTAAGAATTGTACCGTGGTTACATTTCACTTTGTACTTTTGGATTATACCTTTACTTTACGAGATTTTTGGTACCCATTAAAGATTTTCTTTAATAATGTAGAAAATATTTTACTATAACCATATAATATGGAGTTTTACACCTGTCAAAAACCCCGAAGAGTTTGTCAAAATCAAACATAGTCCAAGTTTCGCGGCAACATCGGTAATGAATAAGTTTTTCCTCTTTTAAAAAGTAGAATCATACTCACTATCTTCTATTTATCGCGTGTCCTTTTTTTCTTTAACTTGTGTCAAAGATAGTTACGTGCAATTATTCTATTAAATGTTGGTGGAGATGTTGATCTCTTCAAATACTTTGATTTGTTACATCGCCCCGAGTTGAGTGTATTTGTGTTAGACAGTAAAAATTCAATAAATTTGCGGAACTTATTTGTAGATCACTCTAATGTGAGTCGATAATTAGATTCACATGATCACAAATTATGGTATTAAATAGCATATTTCTTGTTACCACCAATTAGGTCTTTGTATTGATCGATGAGGAATCGGAACAAGATCAGAAGCTAATAGAAAAGGTAATATCAAATGACATTTCGACAATTCATTGAGTAAATTAATAATGTGCTGATATCCCTAAATTCATATGTAAAAAGGCAGCTAGGAAAGAAGAGTTGGAAAAAGTTACAAGCGTTGAAGACAGAATAGCGCATGCACATTTGTATAGAAATGAAACTGATGATTTTGGGCGCTCAAAGACAAGAACCAGGAGAACAGTTGGTTCGGTTAGTTAAAAGTTAAATTAAAATCTTTGGGTTCTGTGCACGAATATCAGATAAAAATTAATTAACGGTTTGGAATTTTATTTTTTTCCAGCAAAATTCAAATTCACTATCAACCTCACCAGAAAGAGTACAGTACGGTCCTTCCATCGCGTTGCAGACATATATTCTTTCCTCAGAAATATTGTTAAAAGAAAATGATATGCTATGGTATTGTGCATCTCATATCAATATATCACATGTTCAATAATCGATACGTTACGAATCATCAAACTTATTTTGCCCGTTCAAAATTGGAAGGCTTGCTATAATAGGACAAACGAGTCTTTTCGTATTACGGAAAATCAGTCTGAAAGAATATGATGAAAAGATAGAGTTCTTAGATGCCGAAGTTTCTGAAATAAATGACATAACTAGTTTTCGACGTGTTCATAGACACGGGGCCGTTCCTTCTCATCCCGGTGACAAAAAAATTGTTCACATCAACGAATATCCTTTTCATTTTAAAGATCTGTTGCGAAAACAAGTTATTGAATTTTATCATATCTTAGTATTCTTTCCTTAACGCTTATTTACATTTCAATGCGTGTTGATCGGTCATTGGACCGTGTGGGACAGCATGCTTTATTCTGAATATCCTTGCAGTAAAATGAAACTCAAAGATAATCATGACAATTTAGATCGATTGCTGAGAGATATTGGGTAAGAAACCTCTGGTTAATTTAGAAGGATATTGACAATCAATTTTATAATAGTTGATGTTTCTTTGAAATCAAGAGTTCCACGTCGAGCGGCAAAGCAACATTTTCCGTCCATGGAGGTTAAATGGGCAAACGAACTTGCCAATAGTATATTTTCCGAAGGACCAAAACTTGGGCTTCTAAATCCTTTATATTCTTCATATTGCAAATTTTATGGGTATGGCCGACCAACTTTGTCTGCAAGCGATGTGGTATATGGATTGATTACCCTCCTAAAAATAAAACAATCAGTATCCGTTGAATTCAACGTGGAAGTTCAATGGATAAATGATTTTGAGGGAAATGATATTTGGCTGAATAATTTTTACACGGTGGTTGAAGCGTTGGACAGGTTAATATTGTTTCTATATGGTATGATAACTTTAATAATACATAACTGATTTATTTTTTTTTTTTTTATTGTTTCCAGTCAGACAGGTATCACTTTGTTGCAGGAAGGGATTAATCTTAGAATAAAATTGCAACCTTTGTTCTTAAATGGGAATGTGGAAAGTTTTTTTATACGGTAGAAATTGGTTTGTTTCGAAGGGAATTCGTATTTTGTATTTCTTAGCGATTTTAATCTTTTGGTTATTTGCTTATTTATTGGAAGGGTGAATCAAAAATTGATTTCAAATTCATTTTCTTGGATTACTGATGCATCGACTCACGATATTAACTACGGTGCGTTGAATTGTCTGACGATGAAATTCTGATTAAATTATGGTTATAACTTTCAATAAATAAATTGCCATGTTTTTCTTAAATTTGTATTTTTTTTTTATTTTCATATATGTTAGATCTTGCAATTCCTTTTGTTTATAACACCGATAGAGTTTATTGATGTTTTCATTGTACTTGGTATCACATGATAAATATGCTAAAATCGTATGTAAAATAGAAAGTTTGTCATTTAACGTACTTTATTGCTTGTAAAAATTTTTCTTTTATGACGAATAAAATGAATTTAAACGTAAAATTTTTAATCCCGTAACACCAAAAGAAATCGTTCTATACTATTTATTGGGGTTTGGTTTAAACAACAAAGCATTAGGATAAACAAATCAGTTTACAAGTTTATCTTATAAATATATTTTTAGATTTTTGTTTAAAAGTTTTTGAACAAATTTTTTTTATATTTTTATTTATAATTCAATAAATAATAAATAAAATAAAATAAAAATTTAAATATATATTAATAAAAATATAAAAAACAAATTTACTTAATATATTTTTAGTAATATATTATTGAAATTTATTGAAATTCATTATTATATCAAAAAAATTTTTTTTAAAATATATTGGTTTAATTAAATTATTTTTATTTTTATTTTTAAGTAGGTAAACATTATCTCTTTATTATATCATAAAAAATTTAAAATATTTTATATACAGAAAATAACAATATCTTTTACATGACCAATTGATCAATGAGTCTAATGCTAGCTTGCCTACAAAAACTATCTAAGCAATAAAAGAAAATAAATATTAAAACTGATGTACATAAAAAATAATATCAAGCAACTATAAATATTTACTTAGAATTATTTGAGATAAAATTTAAGAAATATAAAAGTGAAAAAGAAAATGTTTGACAAAAAGAAAATAACAAAAAAAATAAATTATAATATGAATGATGCCTAATGTTGCTCTGGTGGTTTCATCTTCTAAAATATAATAACACTTTTTGAAATGGCCAGGCTACAACTTAAGATATATAATAGTATTAATGTATACTTCTTCTTGATAGCCATTTCTTGAGTTATTGTTAGTTGTAATGATAGTATTGATGTTTATATTTGAAAAACTGATAATAATAAAAAAAATATATAAAAAAAACTAATTATAACATAAAGGATATTTTGAATTAAGTATGTCATACTAATTAATCCATTTAATTAAAATAGAATACTATCAAAAATAGTTAAGCTAATGTTTAAAATAAATAATAATATTGTTAATACATTACTTAAATTATAATTTGTTTTTGTAATTGTTAATATTTTTATTAATATATTAATTATTTTATTTGTTTGTGATATGATTTTATTTTGATTGTTATTATTCAAATAGAATTTGTTTATATTAATTGTTATATAATTTAATTATACAAATTGCTTTAAAATTTGATAGTATTTGATTGATTAAATTTGAAATATTAATTAGTTAATAAAAATAAACTGGTTATAATTTTTTGATAAGAAATTTTTGGCTTTTATTGATATAGCAAAATATATTAAATAATAATAAGAAATAAGTATTAAATATATTGTTTTTTAAAAAACTCTCTCCTGATCGCGTCCGTTTTGTTAAAAATTTTTCTTTTATAGTAATTTTAAGCAAGAAAAAATGTTTTACACTCTTTATCGCAAGTGAGCCCCAGCTCAGGAACTCAAGA